TTGGTTCATTGTAACTCTGTAAAAATAAAGATTTGTTTTTATTGTCACTTTAAACTGAAGGTTTGTTTAAATGTTGTGAGAACTTTATCATTTGTGTTGATGTCATCTCAACACATGTGAAGTAATGATGAATATATAGTTGAGATAATGTTCAATAATATGACTATAAAGCGATGGTTAATGCTGCTGCTTCTCTAACAGAAGGCCCCTGGTTGGCGTCCAATTTCCTCCATTAATCAAAAAAGAAAAAGTTGTTTTGTTTTGAATGAACACAAATAAGTCAATTAATCCTCTTAAATGACCCTGACTCAAATGTTAATAACGATCTCATTGATTTCATAGTTCAGAGTACATTTTTAATCAATTTAAGTTCAAAAAACAAAATTCATTCTGCAAAAAGAAATCATTCTATACATTTAATTTGAGATGTTTCTAAATACAACGTACAAAGTGGTGAAAACATAATATCTACATGAAAGAAATGGCCTGGTGCTTTCTCTCTTAAGACCCTTTAATTAGAACAAAAACAATCAGTACTCATTGTAAACACATTTAAAGTGAAGAAAAGTTGAAATGTTCATGCAGAGAAAATGTCAGTTCAGCTGAACAAAAATCCTCATGAGCAGTAAAGCCTCTGTGACTAAACAGAAACAGCTAAAGAGAGTTATTTAAAGAGACTCAAACATTTACAGAACAAGTGAGAAGATGTCAAAGTACCGCCCATAAAGTTTGATTGACAGGTGAACAATGTAACCACAATCAGCTCTCAGCAACAAACATGAATAATGATCAAGTTGAAGGATTAAAGTTTAACCCACTGTTCCTTTAAATGACTTCTGTCTATTTCAGTTTACACAACTCAGCACTACATCCAGAATCAGTCCAAAGTCCAGCATGTAGAGGCTGAGTGAATGTGGTCTGGACTCTGTGGAGGAGAGTCATGGTTTCAGAGATGCTGTAGAAGGACAGAATACCTGCTCTGTGATCCAGGTACACTCCTACTCTGGAGGACTGAGGACCTGAGACAGGAGTGAGGACATTGTTGTTATAAAAGTTATAACTGTTGTTGTCACAATCTAAGGCCCAAGATTTCTCATTGTATCCAAATCCACTTTCATTTCCAATTCCTGCTCTGCTGATATTCTTGTATGCAACTGCTACACGAACTCTTCCTCCCCTCTCCAGTTCCCAGTAACAACGTCCAGTCAGACTCTCTGGACTCAGAACCTGACACCATTTAGTGAATCTGTCTGGGTGACTAGAATAAGACTGTTGTTGACCCGTGTTTGTTAATTTTCTGTTCCCATCAGATAATAACAGCTCTGTGTTTGCTGTGTTTGGATCCAGTGTGATGTCACATGAATATTGTAAGAAGTCAGCTCTGGTCATGTTCTCTGGTTGTGACAGTAAAACATCCACTTCAGTCACTCTCTGTGAGATGTTTGTCCATTTCTCTCTCAGGACGTCCTCTAGTTTATCTCTGACTTCTGACACAGCTGCTGTCACATCCTCAAAGTACCTCAGAGGACGGATATTGATGCTGGATGAGTGTGTAGATTCACAGAGTGGTGACAGTGAGGGGTAGTCGTGTAGAAACTGGTTGTGGTCCTGTGTGTGTGAGAGCTTCTCCAGTTCAGCGTCTCTCCTCTTCAGCTCAGTGATCTCCTGCTCCAGCTTCTCCTGAAGCTCTCTGACTCGACTCACTTTAGTTTGCTGCTGGGATCTGACCTGCTGCTTCACATCAGAGCGTCTTTTCTCCATGAGACGGATCATCTCTGTGAAGATCTTCTCACTGCCCTCCACTGCTTTATCAGCGGAGCCATTGATATCCTCCACCTCCTGTTGAAGCAGCTTCACATCTTTCTCTCTGTCCTGGATTCTCTGCTGGATGTTTTGTCGACTCACCTCCAGCTCTCTCTGCTTCTCGGTCCTCTCTGCTGCAGCTGGACTGTGTCGTGGCCTTTATGTTCATCCACAGAGCAGAGATAACAGATAGACTGCTGATCAGTACGACAGAACATCTTCATCACCTCATCATGATGAGAGCAGACGTTCTCCTGGAGCTTCTTGGAGGGCTCCACCAGCTTGTGTTTTTCAAAGGCAGGTGAATCATAATGAGGCTGAAGGTGTTTTTTGCAATAAGAAATCAGACATTGTAGACAGGACTTACAGGCTTTCAGTTTCAGGTCCAGCATAGCAGTGATCAGCAGGAGCAGCTCGGAGTCCAGTCTTCTTCAGCTCCTCCACTAAAACTGCTAACATGGTGTTTTTCACCAGGACAGGCCTCACTGGGAAGGTCTGCCTACACTGAGGGCAGCTGTAGATTTTCTTCTCCTCCTCTTTATCCCAGTGGGTTTTAATACAGTTCATACAGTAGCTGTGTCCACAGGGAACAGTCACCGGATCCTTCAGTAGATCCAGACAGATCGAACAAGAGAAGGTTTCCCGGTCCAGCTGAACTCCTTTCTGCGCCATTTCTCCTCTCAGTGATGACTGCCTGAGAAACTATTTTCACCTGAATGTGAGCTCGTGTTGGTTACACGCATCTGTAAACTGTAGATCTAAAGGGGAGGGAACCAGGAAATACTGGGTCAGAGTGGAGCTGGCTGTGTTTGAGAGCAGGCAGGAGAGGGGGGGTTATCAAGCTCTGGTTTATTCCAGGAAGAGGAGCAGCACTGTTAATTTTTAAATTTCAAGACGGGTACCCGGCTGCCACAAAATTGGTCCTTTTTCTGATCCTGTTTGGACTCTCATTCCTGCAGTCTTCCCTGACCCCGGCTGGCGCCCGTTAGCTTGTGGCTTTCAGCCTGCAACTAGCCGCTGCTCTTCCTGCTGTGGACATGGTACTCCTAACATACTCCGCTCTGCAACTCCAGAATGTCATCTGCCACTTCTCTCCGGACGACCTTAAATCCTTCGGACTCCTGCGCCGTCCTCGCTACGTGCATAGGGCTGCCCGATGCAAATTTGTTTACACCGACTATGCTATCCCCACTGTAGTGTCTGACCGGCTGCACTACGACGTCATCACAACAAATCACACGTGCACACCAGAAACCTGATACCTGTTGTTGTGTGTGTTGACAGAACCACTCCTCTCTCACCCTCTGCTTCAGAATCCACCACCGCCTCATTTATGCTGCAGAATTACGCTGTTATAATCCCTGCGTCAGGGTGGGAGCTTTCATATTTATGAATAATATCCACCAGCTCGTTAAGTGCGGTCAAGGCGTCAGCCCGAGGATGAATGTAAAACAACCAGTCTAAAAAAAGGGGCGACATTTAATGACCAGGCATTTGAGGTTTGTACAGGTTTTCGTCATAATAGCAGAGTCTGTACACCAACTTTCATTGATGAGGAGACACACACCTCCGCCTTTACTTTTGCCGGTGAGATTTCTCTGGCAGTCCAATCGAAAGAGGACTCGGCTTTCCTACCGCGGGTGTCGCTGTTGAGTCACGTCTCCGTGAGGCAGCAGACAGAGCAGTCTCGGGCCTCTCTCTGGGACTGGACCCGGCCCAGTAGGTCGTCGGTTTTGTACGGCAGGGATTGCACATTTGCCAGGTAGATAGATGGCAGCAGGATACTGAAACGGCGATGTCGTAGTTTAACGGTTTAAAAGAGGAAACCATGATCAGTTTCACCAGTTGCTTGGCCCCTCCACTGATTTACAATGATTTTCCAATCATGGCTTAGAAATATAAATTGTATTAAACATGTAGTCTATGTGATGTCACCCACTGGTTTCTAAGTAAAGGTTTGATGCCCATTGATGGCAGTCACCATTTGGAAATGCTGTCTATAGTAGCTGTCGCGCTACTATCCAATGCAGTATGCTGCATGTACTGCTTACTGGGATCAACAATAGTATGTAGGACTGCCACTCGTTGGTTTTTTGCAGTATGCCAGAAAAGTTTCTGGTCTTTGAAGGAGCATGTAAAGGACTTCTGACAAAGCAAACACTGTTACAGTGTAGCAATTGGAGGTATCTTTGTGTGGTTTGGTCTGATTGAGATTATTTCCCATGTTACAATGGCCGTTGCTGTCCATCATTTCGATCTCTGACCTGGTGCTTTGCATTGTGGGAAACAGTATAAGAGGGAGACTGGTCTGATGCATACTGTGGTTTCTTCCAAATCATTAAATGGTAAATGGACTTGAGATTATATAGCACTTTTCTAGTCTTCCAACTACTTGAAGTGCTTTTACACTGCATGTCACAACTACCCATTCACACACTGATGGTAGTGGTTGCTATGTAGTATCATCCATCAGAAGTAACTAATCCCATTCATACACTGCCACTGAAGCAGCGGGAGCAACTCAGGGTTAGTTGTCTTGCCCAAGGACACATTGGACATGTTGCCCAGCTGGGGATTGAACCCTTGAACCTTCTGGTAGAGAGGCGACGACTCTACCAACTGAGCCACAGCTGCCCCCAGTACAGACCTGGATGTATTTGGATGTATTTGGATGTATTTGGCATATTGTTGATATTTTTGTATACTGCATTCTGGTCAAATTATCATGGCCTCGAGTCTATTGACATTTCAAAAAGTTCACCTTAACATTTACTTCAGATAATAATTAACAGAACTAACTTCTATCAAAGTTAACGTCTTTGATGGATTAATGGATAAGGAAGTTCATTTTTTGTATTAACTGTGCCCACCTCTGAACATGAGTGGGTGTATTGGACTTCCTGGGCTTTTGGAGCCTCAACTCAAGAAACAAGTTCCCATCATCGCTTGAAGTTTCCACACCAGGGGTTGCTGTAGGAAGGGCAAATATGTATTTTTCTAAAAAGAGATGGAAGGAAAGGAGGACGTGAACTTTATCAGCTTGAGAAGACGTCATGTCAGTTGTTAAAAAGAAGACACTCAAGACTTTTATGCAACTTATAAATGATTGCATTTGTTCGTTGACAGTAGAATTAAGTCAACGTCAGTCCTTCCTAACATTACAAACAGCTTTGATAAATACTGGACCCCTTTATTAGTTTTCAAATCATTTCAGATTTTTATTAAAATTACATCATTTTGACATAATTGATAGGACACTCCTGATTTTATTAATTATGGTACATTTCCCTTAACTACTGCGCCAAATGTTGGAAGTGCCAAGAAACCATTAACGCCATTCAAGAGTTTGAACATCCTGTCAGAAAAGGTCTACCTGAACAGGAACAAGTGGTTTAACTTTTAATTAAAATTAATTATATACAACTCATTATACAACACAACACTATGGTTATAAAACAGTCCCAGCTGCTCGCTGTAGCTTTAGAAGTTAATGCAGCTCATCTCCCTCTGCTGGCAGTGTTAATGGAACTGATGAAGAACAGATATTTTGTTCCTTGTTAACAGGAAGTATCATTACAAAAATCTACATATTAATAAAACATGATGATAATTGCAAAAGAAAAAGAATGATACAGCATTAGCGGTCCAATAAGAGCCATAGCAGGAGATGTTAGTTAGCCTACCTTATAACCAAATCCTCATGAATAAGCTGATTGATAACTTAGACTGGTAATGAAGATGAGAAGCAGCCAAACTGAATTCAATAATTTCAAAATGAAGTATAAGGGCTATATTTCAGTTTGATTTGGAAATGTTTTGTGTGTGCTTTTCTAGAGACAACCCTTGGCATAAAAATAAAACAAACGAAGCTGGTACTTTACCTGCTGAAAAAGCCTTCTCAAAATAAAGTATAATGTCTTACATCGAGGGAATCTTAAAGATAACAGTGATCTGTGGCTCGGACTTGAATCCATCGCAGAACACCAGAAAAAAACATCATACAAATAGAAGCAGATCAAAAGTATAGTGGGGCAGACCAGTATGTGCATTTGTGTTTCTTAAAGGTCACATAGTATCCTCCTCTTCAACCAGTTTAATTAAGTCTCAGAGCACCCACAGCTGTGTGAAGTTTCTTGTTCTAAATCCACTCTGATCCTGTATTTGGTGATGGTCATACCCCTCAATAGCCGTTTTCATATATGCTCTCTGGATAATATCTAGATAATTTCAGGAGGACTGCTCCGGAAATTCTCCTGACCTAGCTGTTCACATATACTCCTCACAGCGGGGGACTTTCCCTGTCAGAGGGAAGGGGCCGCAGGGGATTTCCTGACTTAAGACATGACGTAAATAAACAACGCGGAAGTAGCGGGCGGAGCAACAGAGTCCACTACACGACGCTATAATGAGAATATTTGTCTTGTCTTTGTAGTCCAATGAAATGACAACATCCACAAAAGAGTGGAGAACAACTTACTGATGAACAGAAAACATAATGAAGCCGTTTAATTACGTTCATGGAGATCATAGTGAGGTGAGTCCTCCGGAGTATATGCTGCCGCGTTCAGACATCAACTCACTTGGACTTTCTGTGGAAAAAATACTAGATGTCTGGCCGGAGAAACTCCGGGTAAAGTCTGCGCGAAAAATTCAGCTGTTTGCGGTCACATATAACCTAAAGCCCATCCAGGTAGCCTAATCTCCAGAGTTTTTCAGGAGAGTATGTGTGAAAAGGCTTTATTTCAGCCCTGCGTAGAACAGGCTGTTTCTGTGTCTGAACATTTAAATATGTAAATGAGCTGTGTCTGACCACGTCCCCTCTCTGGAAGGGCTCGGATGGCTCGGGCTTTCTCGCTCCATGTCCTATTGTTCACGGTGAGAAGGCAGACTCAGAGGGCAGAACAAACACCTAGCTGTGGGAGTGTCACCCACCTGTTTGAGCACACATTTTCCGGAAAGGTGGAGCAGGTAAAAGATGAGGAGGATGGATTTTTCTCATAATTGGGGGGTTTGTAGACAGACTAGGGGACATGGTAGTGTTAGAAAAACATAGTGAAGTGTATTGTGTATAATATGTGACCTTTACGTTAAACAGCACAGAGGAGTTTAATAGTACTTCGAGGTTGCTCTAATCAAGCACAGTCAAAAAAGAAAATTGATGATTGAAGATGGTTTACACTGACTGTACAAGTACAGAAAAAGAGCTCAAGGGCTTTTTCTTCAGATGACTTCCTTTTGGAAAATATATGGCATCCTAATATCAACACTTTGGCAGATTCCAGTCTGATGAATAAAAATGTGATACAGCTTGAAACGGCTCCTTTTTGATTTGGCTCCTTCTCATTGGTAACCCAGCCCATGTCTCTTGAAGTGGCAGAACAGGGGGATGGAGATGGACAGACAAATAAACTGAAAAAAAAGAAAATAAATGATATTTACTATAGCCTTACTATATGATCAGACATTAAGGAAACATCCTATGTTAAAGTGCTGGCTTCTCTGACAACAATGCAGCAGCCAGTATGTGCTCCTTCTAACTTTAGATTCTGCTCCCTGAATGCTCTGGATTTGTTTGGATCAGAGAAGGTAGGCAGTTTTAAGGCACCACCACATGGTCGTTTTGGATGCCCCTCAGTTTGCCAGGCAAACAACAAACCAAAAGGTGTTGCAGCGATGGAAGCGGGCAAGAGAAGTGGTTCAGATAGAAGTAATTGTACCCAACCTAAAAAGCCTCTGCATGTTTCTAATAAGCTCCACGAGCAGAAACGTGCTCAAACTAGGATCAATATTGGAGATGCTTTCGAAAAATGGAGAGAGGTTAGAACACAGAAAGGTTTACAGACCGATGCAGAGCTGGATAAACACTGAAGCTACAGTGTCTGCAACATGGCAACCTGCGTGAACGTCGACTCTACAGAGGAGGGGGCGGGGGGAGACAGCTCTCTCAAATGTTTAAAATTTGGACTGCATTTTAAGCGCTTGTCAGTTACATATTGCTCCTTTAACTAATTGAAAACAATTATTTTATTTAAGACACAAAATATAAAAACAGTACATGAATGTTTGAGATTGAATTATCCTCGAAGTCTAAAAGTAATTTAAAACAGACCTGAATGCACCGTACCTGTATGATAAACATTGTGACAACACCTGCGCCTGTGCTGAGGTAGTTACTGGCAAACCAGTTCTTCAGTTTATCGACACACCCCTGCAAGACAAAATGAGGTCACCTGAAAAACCTGTCAACAGTAACGCTGCATTTAAGAGTCATTCTTTTTTAGCAGGTATAAAGTTTCTGACACATTTTCTGAGTGTCTTTCACAATAAGGTTCTTTGTTTCAGGGCACAGAAAGCTGGAACTGCTCAACTTGAGATAGTTTTAGTACCACAGTGGCAACAATGACATCTGAATCTATGGGACACACTTTGATGAAAAGATCTGTTCAGACTTTTACATTATTTAAATAAATTAAACTAAACTGGGCTTGTCTGAGCTGTCGTCAAATTAAGCCACATCTCATAATTTCTGCTGTTATTGCAGTTGTTTCAGCTTTGTGCAGTATGTCTTTCTATTTGCAGCCTGTTTCCAAAGGTGCATTTGGACTTTTGTATGTGTTTTTAGTGTTTACATCTTTTCTGAAACTGCTGCACATTTGTCCAGATGTAAATCATCTGATCCTTTGTGCCAAAGAGAGCAGTAAAGGCCTGAATGATTGAATCCTAAAGGGCAGGGATCTTTGGCTGGGTCTGGCTCCACCCAGAGGAGGCCCAGACCCAGGTTGGGAA